GCGTGAGTCAAAATGTAATGCGATTTGTTTTATTTTATAAGAAATAAAGCAACCAATCTAACATTAGGTTTCTATATTTTTGAGATGAGGTTTTGTAATTATTTATATTATTTTCCTTGACCGGAATGTTGTTCTCATCATTGTTTTCATATTTACAACGTTTCGGCCGTTGTACACTCTGACATTCTTTAGAATCTCTCTATATTTCTGAGGTTAGGTATTATAATTATTTACACTATTTGCATTGTTTGGACTGTTGTTTTAATCTTTGTTGCCAAGGCGAATATGGACCAGTGGATAACAGCTTTGGTTGACCCAAAGTGCTATGATTTCGATACCTGGCTACTGCGGAGGTGAAAAAAAAAACAACTTGGAGACTTGAGTTATACGGAAGAGGCATGCAACGTAGAACTAGAACAATCTACTATGGTGGAGGAAATAAAGAGTTCATCTAAAGTAGGCCGTAGCATGCAATGACTGAAACCTCGAGAATATGGCACCAAAGATGAAGACAAAAATCTGAACCATGTAAAAATATAAAGAATCAAACATTTATGTCAAGATATAGCAATACATCACACGTTTAGATCCCTAGTTCTCAACATTAGACACCACCTTTTTCAATGGCCGTATTCCATGTTAGAATGGGAAAGTCCAAAATATTAAAAAATGCACATTTTCAAACATAACTTCCCGACTGCCTGATGATTGCATGTCACTGTTCACATAACGTTTAAATTTAATTAAAATTTATTAGGGGCTTTGACAGTTTAGATGACATTGAACTCTCTTTCTCCGTTGTGCCTGTATAGCAGACTCTCTTAGGAAGATGCCTATTTTATTCATATTATGTATGCTCTGTCATAGAGGGAACTTGAGGACACCGTATTGTTAACGGTTATTTTGCTTTTAGCAGTTAGCTCGTCTGGTTTCAAGCATTTTTTTTTTTTTGGTAAACATGTGATTTTTTTTTTCTAATGATTTTTCTCCTCAAAATAATCGTGAATTTATGACTTTTAATCGTGGCCGAATGCATATCTCTCCGGTTAATTTGGTTGGTGTGTGCGTGTGGTGTTACCTGAAGGGCATAAAGTACCGATTTACTGTTTCCGACCGCCTAATGATTACATGAACAATCATTAAACTGTTAGTTGTGGACGACCAATTTTCACTTAAAATTTAACTAATATATATATATATATATATATATATATATATATATATATATATATATATATACACACACATATATATATATATATATATGTATAATGAAAGGAATGTCCGACAATTATGTTAATATATTTTCTGCTGATACGTTGTTTCATGGATACAATTATTTTAGTTTATTTATATTTTGTTTATAATAAACAGTATTAATTACATTTACCGGCGTAAAAGTAGGGCATGTACTTAAATAATTGTATCTACAAAATAAATATATATATACATGAACAGAATATATATATATATATATATATATATATATATATAAAATATATAGAAAATAGGAAGGAAAATACTCCTTTAATATATATATATATATATATATATATATATAAAGTGGGGATTGAGGTTAATACCAAGTGGAAACAGTCTGTATCATGCTTAAACACAATCTTCACGCCATGCATCTAAGCAGGGAACAGGCTATCGCGCTTGAGTCTTGACCTCAATTTTTATTTTATATTCTCAAACGCTAAATGCTTGATATTGATCACTTTAACCCATAAATGTATCACGCTTTAAAACTATATTTTATCATATATATATATATATATATATATATATATATATATATATATATATATATATATATCTGTGTCTGTGTGTCTCTGTGTGTATGTGTGTGTGTGTTAGGTTTGAGTCATAAGTAATTTCGGTTTGAGAAAGCAAATATAATGACAAATATATCACCATACATGACACTTACGCATAAATTTGAAGTCACAATAGTGATTGCGTACACAACGGGTGAAATATTTTTTTTCTCTTCATGACAACGTACATTTGCATCCAGCAAGGATAACACAGAAAATTCGTTTGGAATGCAGTTGGTCCGTTCTCCCCGACGCCATATATTCACCTGATTTTGCACAAACTCATTTTTACCTATTGCGATCGCTGCGAAACGTTTTGATAGGCGGCGACATTTCTCCAATGAAAACATTTTCCACATCAAAACTTGCAACATTTTGCACAGAAGGTACACATAAGCTGCTTAAGTCGCATTTGGCGATAATTCAAATAAAGGTAAATATATAATTGAATAAATGTATTCTATTTCTTGAAGAATAATTCTTTTAAGTTAAAATGGAAATTATGAATGACCTAATATATCAATTGCGCAAAAGATTAACAATGTATTTTTTCTTTGGAGAATTTCAGATTAAATGTTTGTTAAGTTTATGTCCTTTTAGGACGTGGGTGATCATGACTCTCCTGAGATATCTTTTCTTTTTATTGTTTGTAAACTGACATGTCTATTTGGGAAAGATATTCGAGCTGTTATTTAGAGTTTTGTATTTCCGGTACTTAGTTTCTGGTAATTGGTTTTGTATTTCCTGCTGTTAGTTTCCGGTAGTTAGTTTCATAGATAGTCGAGCTGTTTATTCAGAGTTTTGTATTTCCGGTTGTTAGTTTCATAGACTGGATGCCATCCAAGCCCAAATAACTCAATTTGTTTTTTCTATTTAATCTATAGCTGCAATGCTTGTGAGATAAGATATGGATGCTCTTTGCAGAGGTGTTAGATCGGAAGTAAACGCAACGGACAACACGATTCGAACTCGGCTCACTCATTACATTTTCTGAGCTCGTCCTATGGTTTGACGATAAACTACAACCGGCAGCTAGACCTCTGATCGAGTGACTGGAGGTTTTCAGGAGAATGGAACCACAAATATAAATTAAAAAAATCAAAAGTTCATTTTTATAACAAAGTGACAAACATTACGTTTTTATAAATAAATGACTAACAATACATTTTAATAGCAAAATGGCAATCAACGCAACACTAAAAAATATAAAAATACATTTTTATAGCAAACGTATCAACAATACACTTTATGATTTATAAAATATATATCTAAAAAACATACCTTTACCCGGAAAGTATAAGATTAAGTACAAAATATGTGTAACTGAAGCCATAAATTGCAATGAAAATATATACAATGTGGTCCGAAAGTCTTGTCACCCCAACTTATATATGGTGACCCCAAAAAACGGGAATTTTTTAAGTGCATATTGCCAGAGATGAGGAAATAGCAACACTGCGAGACAGTGATCTTCAGCAAGTAAACATTTCACCATTTAGAATGCAAGATGAAATTCACAGTACCCCAGCTGAGATGTTGCAGCAATCAATGAGGAATCTCAACAGCAGATTTCAAGAATGCATTCGTACAGGGGGACGCCATCTACAGGACGTAATTTGTAAAAAATGAAAATTCCATCATTGTTTCTTAAATGGCATGTTTTATTGGATTGTTAAAAAGTTTCCATTTTTTGGGATCATCCTGTATAAAGGTTTTCTATTTCAGATAGCTAATATGATAGCCTTAGTGAATAAACAAAATCCAGACATGTGCATTGTGTTACTGTATTACTTTCGGACCACCCTGTAGATTTCGGCATTAAATAACACATGATATGCCGCTAAATCAAAAGTACATTTTAATAACAAAATGACTAACAGTACATTTTTATAAATAAATGACTGACAATCCATTTTAACAGCAAAATAAAAATCAATGCAACACTAAAAAAATATAAAGATGCATTTTTATAGTAAAATTACCAACAATACACTTTATGATTTACAGAGTATATATCTAAAAACATACCTTTACCCTGAAAGCATACATTTATGTACAAAATATCTGTAGGTGAAGCATAAAATTACGTACAAAATAGTTTTGGTTTCGGCATTAAATAACCCGTATGCATCCAAACAAACCGAACAACCAAACAGCCAACATGAAAGCTTTCTTTCATGGTTCCATATAATATTCTACAATTTCTTAAATCAAACGGTATTCCAAAATATAACTTCAACAAAACTACAACATAAATCACACATATGCCTGCCTCTACTTACCATGTCGATACAAACATGTTTATGCGCAAAAGCAGACTACCGTCTACCATATATTCCACTGCGAAAGCATAATAATATGCCATATTTTTATTGCTTCAAAGCTCCCAAGAAAATTAAATTTCGGTATTAAATGACCCATAAGGAGTTGATATGCCGTTAAACAAACAATTCAATCAATCAATCCTTTTCCGCGCAAATAACCTTTAGGCTACCTGCAAATCTCTTGATTGAACACAAAGTAGAAGTTGATTCTTATTAAAAAAAAACACACTTATTAATATTCCGAAAGAAACGTATTTAAGCGCATGTCAGCGATGAAATAAAAAAAGTGCTATGTAAAATAAAGGGGCCAAAAAAGAAAGAAAGAAAGAAACAAAGAAAGAAATAAAGAAAGAAAGAAAGAGAAAACGAAAAATAATGTGAAAGAAAGAGGCTGTGTTGTTAAGAAAGGACGGGGGAAAATGGAAAGAGAAAAAAAATGACGTGTGACCAGGAAGAAAACTCTCAAACGCGAAAGCGAAAGGAATAAATAAATAAAGTAATTGACACCGTCAATAAAAGAAAACAACTCGAAAACTGATGCGAAGCAACCGACTGTCCAGCAATTTCTAATGCATTTAAGGCGTCACTCTTAAATAGTTCCGTCTAGAAAAACAGATTCAACCGACACCGGCTCCAGCCCGGCGTATCCCTCCGATTATTTGCATGAATGAGAATATTGGCTTACATAACTCGTGAGAATTACTTAGCGTGCTCTTGCAAACACACAACACAAACTGCATTTATCTCTGACCCTTACCCTAACCCGAATCCAACTCGATCCCTAGCTTGAAGTAGCGTTGCTACCAGAAACCGTTACTGGCGGGAGGGGGGGACGCAAGTAGAGAAATAGCGGGAAATGCCTGTACCATTCCTCTTTGCTGCTATTCTTCTTCCGCCTCACCCTAACTGTAATCTGAATCTTGTCGAATTAGTGCACCTCACCTGCTTGTTTAGAGACAGGTTGGGACTTCTTCCCACGGCTATCAAGTAACATCATATGCTTCTTCAGTGACAAGGGGGTGAGGATATACGCAGGAGGAGGATTAGATCATTACTGTTTGTTTATTTTTTTTTTTTTCGTGCTTTACGTTATTTTTCTTTTTTTATTTACTGATCTTTATCGCTTGCGTTTTGACTCATCGCAAGCTCAGCGTTCTCGCGTTATCTTTTTTCACTTCTCGTTCTTTTTCGATAATCTTTGTACAGTATTCTTTGCTGATTCCCTTTTTTTTTCAAATTTTATCTTCCAGAGCTTTTCTATCTTTTTTTCTGTCTTTCATTTTTTTCTTTCTTTCAATGATATTCTGCATTGCTTTATTTAATTTTCAACCTTATCGTCCAGACAACTTTTTCTTCATTTTTCTCCCTTTCTTTTTATCTACCTTTCAATGGCATTCTGCATTGCTTTCCTTATTTTTCAACCTTATCTTCCGGAGAACTTCTTTCTTTCTTTCTTTCTTTCTTTCTTTCTTTATTTATTTATTTCTATCTTTCTTTCTTTCTTTCTTTCTTTCTTTCTTTCTTTCTTTCAATGGTATTCTGCATTGCTTTCCTTATTTTTCAAACTTAGCTTCCGGACAACTTCTTTCTTTCTTTCTTTCTTTCTTTCTTTCTTTCTTTCTTTCTTTCTTTATTTATTTATTTCTTTCTTTCTTTCTTTCTTTCTTTCAATGGTATTCTGCATTGCTTTCCTTATTTTTCAACCTTAGCTTCCAGACAACTTTTTCTTTTTTTTCTTTCTTTCTTTCTTTCTTTCTTTCTTTCTTTCTTTCTTTCTTTCTTTCTTTCTTTCTTTCTTTCAATGGAAATCTGCATTCTTTTCATTATTTTTCAACCTTATCTTCCGGTAACTTTCCTTTCTTCCTTCCTTCTTTCCTTCCTTCCTTCCTTCCTTCCAATGGTATTCTGCATTGTTTTCCTTATTTTTCAACCTTATCCTCCGGACAACTTTTTCTTTCTTTCTTTCTTTCTTTCTTTCTTTCTTTCTTTCTTTCTTTCTTTCTTTCTTTCAACCTTTCCTTCTTTCTTTCATTATCCATTCATCCAGTCTTTCTTTCTTTCCTTCTTTCTTTCTTTTATCCCTTCATCCAGTCTTTCTTTCTTTCCTTCATTCTTTCTTTTATCCATTCATCCAGTCTTTCTTTCTTTCCTTCTTTCTTTCTTTCTTTCTTTCTTTCTTTTATCCATTCATCCAGTCTTTCTTTCTTTCCTTCTTTTTTTTTCTTTTATCCTTCATCCAGTCTTTTTCTTTTTCTTTCCTTCTTTCTTTCTTTTATCCCTTCATCCAGTCTTTCTTTCTTTCCTTCTTTCTTTCTTTTATCCATTCATCCAGTCTTTTTCTTTCTTTCTTTCTTTCTTTCTTTCTTTCTTTCTTTCTTTTATCCCTTCATCCAGTCTTTCTTTCTTTCCTTCTTTCTTTCTTTTATCCATTCATCCAGTCTTTCTTTCTTTCTTTCTTTCTTTCTTTCTTTCTTTTATCCCTTTATCCAGTCTTTCTTTCTTTCATTCTTTCTTTCTTTTATCCATTCATCCAGTCTTTCTTTCTTTCTTTCTTTCTTTCTTTCTTTCTTTCTTTCTTTCTTTCTTTTATCCATTCATCCAGTCTTTCTTTCTTTCTTTCTTTCTTTTATCCATTCATCCAGTCTTTCTTTCTTTCCTTCTTTCTTTCTTTTATCCATTCATCCAGTCTTTCTTTCTTTCTTTTTTTTCTCTCCATTTCTTTTCTTTCTTTCTTTTCTTATCCCTTCATCCAGTCTTTCTTTCTTTCATTCTTTCTTTCTTTTATCCCTTCATCCAGTCTTTCTTTCTTTCTTTCTTTCTTTCTTTCTTTCTTTCTTTTTTTTATCCATTCATCCAGTCTTTCTTTCTTTTATCCATTCATCCAGTCTTTCTTTCTTTCCTTTCTTTCTTTCTTTTATCCATTCATCCAGTCTTTCTTTCTTTCTTTTTCATTTCTTTTTCTTTTTTTATCCCTTCATCCAGTCTTTTCTTTTTTTTTCTTTCTTTTCATTTCTTTTCTTTCTTTCTTTCTTTTATCCATTCATCCAGTCTTTCTTTCTTTCTTTCTTTCTTTCTTTCTTTCTTTCTTTCTTTTATCCATTCATCCAGTCTTTCTTTCTTTCCTTCTTTCTTTCTTTTATCCATTCATCCAGTCTTTCTTTCTTTCTCTTTCTTTCTTTCTTTCTTTTATCCCTTCATCCAGTCTTTCTTTCTTTCATTCTTTCTTTCTTTTATCCATTCATCCAGTCTTTCTTTCTTTCTTTCTTTCTTTCTTTCTTTTATCCATTCATCCAGTCTTTCTTTCTTTCTTTCTTTCTTTCTTTCTTTCTTTCTTTCTTTCTTTATCCATTCATCCAGTCTTTTTCTTTCTTTCTTTCTTTTATCCATTCATCCAGTCTTTCTTTCTTTCCTTCTTTCTTTCTTTTATCCATTCATCCAGTCTTTCTTTCTTTCATTCTTTCTTTCTTTTATCCCTTCATCCAGTCTTTCTTTCTTTCTTTCTTTTATCCATTCATCCAGTCTTTCTTTCTTTCTTTCTTTCTTTCTTTTATCCCTTCATCCAGTCTTTCTTTCTTTCATTCTTTCTTTCTTTTATCCATTCATCCAGTCTTTCTTTCTTTCCTTCTTTCTTTCTTTTATCCCTTCATCCAGTCTTTCTTTCTTTCATTCTTTCTTTCTTTTATCCATTCATCCAGTCTTTCTTTCTTTTTTTCTTTCTTTCTTTCTTTCTTTCTTTCTTTTATCCATTCATCCAGTCTTTCTTTCTTTTTTCTTTCTTTCTTTCTTTCTTTCTTTCTTTCTTTCTTTTATCCCTTCATCCGGTCTTTCTTTCTTTCTTTCATCCAGTCTGTCTTTCTTTCTTAAAGGCTTTTTTAATTTTTTCATTCTTTTCTCTTTTCATGTCCTTTTTTCTTTTCATTTTCTTCATTCCTCTTTCCTTTTATTTCTACCTCCTTTCATAATTTTCTTTTAATTTTATTTTTAATTTCCGTTTCGTTATTTGTTTTTCTTTTCCGTTTCGATAATTCTTTCTCTTATTTATTTCATTTTCATTTACATTTACTCACTCCAATTTCCATTACCCACACATGTCGTGTAGATGGGTACTTTCAACGCAGAATCAGTTTTACTTCAAAACTTATCCCACGCGAAACTCATCGGTCGTCTATTATGAATTTACTCGACTGAGTCATCATTAGTCATAAAAACGAACGGCGCACATTCATTCTTCAGGCGATCATATGTATGCCTCGATCTGTATTTTAGTCACTGTGTATATATATATATATATATATATATATATATATATATATATATATATATATATATTTCACTGTGTGTAAATTTACTTGTATATGTATGCATGCATAGATGAATGCATGTGTGCATGTCTGTTAATATATATTGCTTATGTGAGTTTGGGGTAACTGTGTTTCTTTCTGGTCATCCGTACACATGCGTATGTGGAGGCATACAGGTAAATCCATGGTTTGAATATTTAATAAGTATTTTACGCAACAAATATTCATTGTTCTATCCTCCCTTGTCAATGCACCTAATTCAGTGGTGAATATTAATCACGTAGATCAAAACTTATCTAGTGGAAATTTCAATAATACCTACGTGCCAGAAGACGTATTTTTGATAATCCCTGATCTGATTTTGGTAGGTGTGAACGTCTTTTTGTTTCTTTTCTTATATAAGTGTTATGGTCCGGTTCCTTGTACCACGGTGATAGTCCAAGGTAGAATCAATAAAGAAGAACTCGAACACAGGTATGGAATAACACAGATATATTACAAACAGGAATATATACAGAGAAGTAGAAGTATTAGTATGAACAATCAGGTTTAGTAGAGAGAACAATGTAGTCTCGACCAGTATCACTATTCCAATATCTTGCAGTAATCGTATGAACGCGACTATGTTTTCGGACTGCCTCTGACTCGACTCTTGACTCGACTTGAACTACTGACTGACTCGAACTACTGACTCTCTCTCTCTCTCGCCTACTAACTGAGGCGCAGTATTTATTATGTATAGAATAGTCCATTATTATTATTATGGGTAAGATCCCACAACAACAAGGAAACTGACAAAAATTCTTAATACATTTTGTTCATTTAGAATGCCATGTTCTTTCTGATTATGTTTAGGGGTACCCATGGCTGGAGCACGAAACAGGTACTATCAACCCGTGTCATGGTGTATTTGGGAACAACGGCAGTTAAGAGGTGTTTACACGCTTCTCTAATCTCCAAGTCAGAAGCCTTGCTGCCTTGCTGCCGGATGGAGCTTATCGTCATACCCAGGATTGCCAGTCTGTGAAGTGCTTTGAATTATTGGGAAATAGAGGCGTTCTTCGTTTCCTTTACCGCAGTCTTGAATTCAAAAATGTCTTTCTTTTAGATATTACCCAAGGCTAGATAACCCACTCCGTCAGAAGACTGGATGCTTTCAAGCTTGTTTCAAAGATATTACTGCGGAACCGAACGAGGCGAGGACTTGAACTGGGCTTCCAAATTTCAATGGCCACGCTGATAGCCGCTATACAATACCTACAAATCACTTCGCTAATTAAACAAATGAAATTGATATTTGACTTTTTTAAGTCTATATTTAATCAAAATACAAATCAAGGGCCTTCTCTGATTGGCCATGTTATCAGAGGTGCAGCCAATTTCGGGTAGGTGAGGATACTTAACCCATAGTTGAAGTAGATGACTGTTCATCCGCCCTTTAATAACTCTTGTTTTGTGTTCTCATCTGGTTACGGTTACTCTCATCACCAAACAGAGAAAATAACTTAATAATATCAGTTGTTAATTTCAGTCCAAGGATCCAAGTTGTTTGAATCAAAACCAGAAAGATAATGCTGAGAGTTAGTTATCGACTGAAATAATTGGTTTTGAAATGATACTCAAGCAATATCGAAAATGTACGGAGCAGAGATGGGAAAATGCTGGGAATTTATCAAATAAAACAAAGGAAAGCTGTATTGCATGCTATAAGAATCTTTCTATATTTGTGCATCTCTCTCTCTCTTTCTCTCTCTCTCTCTCTCTCTCTCTCTCTTCGTTAGCTCGCATGACACTTAGGCCATATCAATATCTCATAAATAAGAGGAAAAGACACTACTTGGTTTCACTAAGAAAATTTTAGACAGAAAAAAAAGATGAGAAAAGAGATTAACGTCTTCTCCCAATAACTCATAAATAATGGACAATTCTGTTTTGATCGGGAGGAAAGACGGGAAAATACACTACTTGGTTTCACTGAGAAAATTAAAGCAAGAAAGAAAGAACGAAAAAAGAAATAAAAAAGGGAAGAGAGAAGTCTCCTGCCAATACCTCGTAATAATGGACTTTTCCGTTTTGATCACATGGAAAAGACATTTTTTGGTTTCAGTGAGAAAATGAAAGAAAGAAAGAAAGAAAGAAAGAAAGAAAACACTGTAAAGTACAAGGATGAAAGAAAGAAAAAAAAAGGGTTTAAAGTCTGTTTAAGTGAAATGGAAAACAGTTGTCAATTCCAAACCGTTTCATTTGTACCCCCTTACTTCTTAAAATAACGGCCAGCATTCATATTTATGATTGTTATTGCAATATTTTTGCAAAATTTGTAAAACTCAAATATTTACCGATGCGACAGAGGAGTTTCTACGGATATTTTATTGATGTAGAACTCGCCATTTATTTAATCCTTAACTGATATTAAAATAGGAAAATCGGGAATTTTTTTAAAGAATTAGAAAAGAGCTAGTTTATATTAATTAGGATGCCAAAAATATCATGTTTTCAAATAAAATGAACATAAGTTATTTCATATTTTATTATCAAACAAATAAGTAGAGAAATTAAATGTTTTCAGGAAATCATTATTCCATATTCAGGCTTTTACACGGATTTAAATGACAATATTACTCAAGATATCTATTTGATATTCTTTCATTTACAAAGTAGATAAAAATGTACTTTTAGATTCAAGAGAGTGCGCATGCGCGTACACAGACACATACAAACGCAAACCTACTTTGAGTAGGTGTGTTTGCGTTTGCGTGTTAGTGTGTGTGCGTTTTTGCGTATGCTGTTCTTAGTTGGATTTGAAATGTCACATTTCAAAGTAGTATTGACATATTCAGTGCTATGGACAATATTTTTTGGGGTTGCTTATAAAATGGCATTGAACATCCAGATCAGCCATTATGAAGTATATTCAAACGGCCATTAATAAACCAGGCTGTTTGTAACTATTTAGATAAAGAAAAAGATGAGTAAGAAGACAAAAATTAGTATTCACAAGGAATCATGTGATGTAACCTAAAAAATGTTTTCCCTTTTAGGAGACGGATTTAGGAAAAACATATATAATCGGTTCTGCTATTTCGTTTCCTTTTAATTTTTAAGTATACAGTAAGTGACAATATTTCCAAGAATATCATCATTATATAATCAATAAGCCTTATTGTCTTATACTACAGGTATAGGATAAATTCATGAAAATTTGTTTTTTTGTTTTTGGTTTGTTTGGGGTTTTTTGGCATATCAACCACTATGAGTTATTTAATGCCAAATCCAGTTTGCACATATATATTAAATATATATACTTTGTAAACATTATTTAAGGATAGCGTCCTTAAACCACAGCTTGTTTATTCTTATTCAAGTAAATGGTTTCAAATGTTTCTATCTGGCATGAGTTAGTTATTATTATTATATAAACTAATTCATTTGCATAGCCAATTGATGTAATTTTTCACTACCAGTTTTAGTATTTATAATATTTATTTATATATATATATATTATATATATATATATATATATATATATATATATATATATATATATATATATATATATATATATATATATATATAAAATATCTCGGTCCTGATGAGCTGTGAAACAGCGAAACAGTCTGTCTGTGGATGACGATATATATATATATATATATATATATATATATATTTATAATATATTTATAAAAATATATCTATATATATAACCAGAATATTCAACCGATCAAAAGGTTGATATACCATAAAAACAAAAATAATCAACCTACTGTTGGATAATACTACACTGGGGCCTTATTCACTGCAAATATGAAAATTTGGTACTTTTTTTAGATCGTCCTATCTAAAGGTCGTCTTATACGCGGAATATATACGGTGCATATATATATATATATATATATATATATATATATATATGTGTGTGTGTGTGTGTGATATATAGAGAGAGAAATTAGAGAGATAATAAAAACAAAGATAGATAAAAAAAATAGGTCGATAGATAGAGTATGAAACGTGTGTCTGTGTAGGAACTAGCATGATTTAAACAGATGCAATGAGTGAAAAAGCCGAAAAAGGCTTAGAGAGATACAAAGAGATAGAGTGAGAAAGAGACAGAGAAATATATGGAGATAGAGTTCAAAAGATAGACGCATATGAAGACAATGTAATAAAGTGAGAAACTCACTAACACAGAAATATATATATATATATATATATATATATATATATATATAACTAATTACAGTAACAGGTTACTCGCCGATTCCTATTGAAAAGAAAGCAGCAAGTAACGGTGCTAACGAGCTTTTGTAGATGGATGGCAGATCAGGTGACCGGGAGCGACGGTGAAAAGGCAAACCTTACTAAGAGCTACAAAAGAGAAAGTGTGGAGAGCCATAATCAAACATCTCTTGAAGGGACACGTTGCATAGAGGAAAAGGTTGTGTATCGAGCATAAAAGACAACGTATTTGTATTTTTGTGTTTTTATAGATGTAATCGTATATATCTCAAACCCCGTTACAAAAATGTAGGAAAATGCTATAGATTTAAGTGATAGTACAAAAAAAAATGTAATTTTGTAATGACACCGGCTCGAACAGAAATTCACTCATTTTTGTACAAAATATAGGCTCAGATTTGAATTTCCATATTCACATATACTAATCAACCAGCAA